GTATGTGGTGCTGAGGATCGAACCCGGGCCGCACGCATGCCAGGCGAGCGCGCTACCGCTTGAGCCACATCCCCAGCCCCCGAATCAGGCTCTCTTATTCACCCCCACGACCTTCTCTTCATGCCTCTTTCTGTGCTTCCCCTTGTTTCTTCTTCCAGACAGGTGAAGTAAAAAGAAAACAGAAATCAGCTTGGCCGGAAAGGGCGTCTGTGTGGATGGGATGGGGACGCCGGGGGAGGGGCTGGGTCGCTGCTCCCATGCCCTGATCCGGGGTGTCCCCGAGAGCCTGGCGTCGGGGGAGAGTGCAGGGGCTGGCCTTCCAGCTCTGGACCTAGCCAAAGCTCAAAGGGAGCATGGGGTGCTGGGGGGTAAACTGAGGCAGCGACTGGGGCTACAGCTGTTAGAACTGCCTCCGGAGGAATCGCTGCCGCTAGGACCGCTGATTGGTGATACAGCCGTGATTCAAGGCGATACGGCCCTAATCACGCGGCCCTGGAGCCCGGCTCGTAGACCTGAGGTGAGCGCCAGGGTGGGTGTGTAAGGGGAAGGGCGAGAGGAGTTGGATGTCCGAGTTTGGGAAAAGAATTGGGAGTTGGGGTGTCTGAGCCGGCACTCTTCTCTTGCCCTAAGGTTGATGGAGTCCGCAAAGCACTTCAGGACTTGGGTCTCCGAATTGTGGAGATGGGGGATGAGAACGCAACTCTGGATGGCACTGACGTTCTCTTCACGGGTGAGGCTGGGGTCTTGGCACAGGGAAGCAGTTTGGGAGACCTAGGATGTCTCGCGCCTTGTTTTCAACTCACTCAGGTCATCAAACCTTTGTGGCCTTCCCGGGGATTCAGGCCGGGAGTTTTTTGTAGGCCTCTCCAAGTGGACCAATCACCGAGGAGCTGAGATCGTGGCGGACACATTCCGGGTGAGGAGCGGTACCAGCCTTGGGAGGGAGTGGGGCGCAGGCAGGAGCCCCGGTAGCCTGAGGACTCCGTGAGGAGGAGGAAGAAGCCTGGGAGCAGCTTTTGTTTGAGGGTATCCCCTCTCACCCCTCCCACGACCCTGAATACCCTCGCCTTTGCTCTCCACAGGACTTCGCCGTCTCTACTGTGCCGGTCTCTGGCCCTTCTCACCTGCGTGGCCTCTGTGGCATGGGGGGACCCCGCACTGTGGTAGCAGGCAGCAGCGACGCTGCCCAAAAAGCTGTTAGGGTGAGGAGGGGTGGGGTGGGGTGTGGCCAACGACCATGGGCGTGGCTCCAAACTCGGGAGGCGGGAGCTCCAACCCTAGCCTTCACCAAGCCGGCCATCTAAGTATGAAAGATCACCCAAGTAAACAGGTGGGATACATAACAATAGCTGGCAGGGAGACTGGGAACAGGGATGATTAACTTGCTCTTCCAGAGTTTTAGGAAACTCCTCAAAGGTGATATTTAAACGGATTTGTAGGATGGATGGGACAGACAGGTGGGAGCTGGAGAAGGGCAAAAGAGGGTTACAGGTGAAAAGGACTGCATCTGAGTAAAGAGTACAAGATGGAAATTAGCAGAACACTGTCTGACATATTAGAACACTGTGTGACATATAGTAAGGACTATGTACTTGCTGTCACTATTATTCCACAAATAGAACTGTCCCAAGTCCTTAATAGGGCCCTTAGTTTGTGGTAGGATAGGCAAATTCAATTGTGGAAAAGCTCTGATACTTAAACACTTCCTCTTTCCTTTCTCTCAGGCAATGGCAGTGCTGACAGATCACCCATATGCCTCTCTGACTCTCCCAGATGACGCAGCTGCTGACTGTCTCTTTCTGCGTCCTGGGTTGCCTGGTGCACTCCCTTTCCTCCTGCATCGTGGAGGTGGGGACTTGCCTAACAGCCAGGAGGTGAGAGGGGTACCACCACCACTGCCCACTACCAACAACAACCAATAAAAGAAGAATTTTTCCCAGTGGGAGGAAGGAGGGGTACCTTACCTAGAAACCTGGGTGGAGCCACTATAAGGTGGCTGGACAAGGGTGACTCTAGACTCAAGGTTTTACTCCCTTCTCTGTATTGTCCCTGCAGGCACTGCAGAAGCTCTCTGATGTCACCCTTGTACCTGTATCCTGCTCAGAACTGGAAAAGGCTGGTGCTGGGCTCAGCTCCCTTTGCCTGGTGCTCAGCACACGCCCCCACAGTTGAGGGTCTGGCTTGGGATTCTGGGTGGCCAGCAGAATAGGAATTAGAAGGGGAAGGAGAGCTGGGCATGGTGGCACACACCTGTAATCTCAGAGACTCGGAAGGCTGAGGCAGGAGGATCACAAGTTTGAAGCCAGCCTCAGCAATTTAGCAAAGCCCTGTCTCAAAATAAAATAAAAATGGCTGGAGATTTAGCTCAGAGGTAGAGCATCCCTGGGTTCAATCCTCAGTACTGCCCCATCCCCCCCAAAAACCCAATAATAATAAATAATAATAATAGAAGGGGAAGGAGGATTAGATAGATGATAAGTAGGTAGTAGCAGGAAAGGGCCCCAAGATGGCGTGGGATGGGACATAGTGTAGGGAAAAGTATAGGAGCCATTGGGTGAGTCCTCTCTCAGAACCAATAAAATAGAATTGGCCTTTTAGATTGTGCTGTGGCTGATGTCTTCCTGGGGCAAAGGGATGGGGCGGGGCTGAAACCTGAGCTGGGGTCAGTGCTGGAAAAGATAACTCTTTCATTCAAAAAATCCTTGTTAAGCAGTTACTCATTGCCCAACCCTGTCCTAGGTGCTTGGGCAGAAGATGGGTAAAACAGAATTTGTATTGTGCACAGTCTGTCCAGGGCAGAAAAGGGAGTGTGTGGGTGGATCACTCTCTGACTATCTCTAAATGTCAGATGATTCAGACACTGGTAGATTAACAGTTCACCTTTACTTGATAGAGAAGAAAAAATGACATTTTCAGAGACAATCATTTTCATTCACTCATTTACTGAGGCTTAGCAGTGATATCAAAAGGGTCAGTCTCCAGATGTCAGGGAACTTACAGTACATGAACATTTCTTACAAATTGAAATATAGATAGTAATATAATAATTCACAGGAGGCTGTTTCTTTCTATGAGAAAAATAAGGGACTCTGTAAGGTATCAAAGTGTGTGCTGCAAAGGGCAAGGAGGTTCAGGAACAACTTCTCAGAAAAGGCAACACAAACTGAGTCCTGAGGATAAATAAGAATTAGCCAGGCAGGTAGTGGAGAGGAGAAAAAAAGGGTAATCCAGGAAGAAGGAATTACTCTGGACAGAGGCATTTTGGATGGCTAGGGAGATTTTTTTCTAAGGCTGGCATGTTGCGTGCACATGGAATGACAGATAAGCCAGAGAGTGCTATATCACCTTGTATCAAAAGCCAAGGTCCAGGGCTGAGGCTGTAGCTCAGTGGCAGAGTGATTGCCTAGCACTGTGAGGCTCTGGGTTGCATCACATTAAAAATAAACAAATAAAATAAAGGCATGCTAACCATCTACAACTACAAAAACATTTTTTTAAAAAAGCATAGGTCCATGACCCAGAGCTGAAGCTTAAGGAGAAAAATACCACAGTTTAAAAATAAGGGATGTCAGGAGCAAGTTAGTACTTGAAGAGGATCTCTGGCTTCAGAGGAGGGCAAAGCAGAAGTATGAGTTATGGATAACCCAGGAAGGAAATGAGGAGATTACATTCTGGTGACAGCACTAGACATGGAAAAAAGATTTGACAGTGACCTTAAGATAGACAAGACTTCATGGCTCATTGTGTGGAAATGAGAAATGAGGTCATATGACTCCAGGTTTCTGGCTTGGTCAACTGGGTTGATCAAGAGAGAATGTAAACAATAAATTGTGCTTGATACACTGTGCAAAATGCCTGGGGTCAGCCAGACAGGATGTCCTAGATCTGGGATGCAGAGAGTTCTAAGTGTCTTTCTAGAGGTGCAGGCTGAGAATTACCTGCAGATAGGAGATTTCCAGAAGAGGGGTATGGGGAAGAAAGGGACAAACCTAGAATGGTAGAGAATACCATGGGGATAGAAAGCAAAGAAAAAGAATCTAGAGGAAGATAAGAGCACCAAAGTAAAATAACTTTTTTTTTTAATAAAAGAAGGGGGTGATCAAAGGCCATGCCAAATGAGTGTTGAAAAACGTAGCCTAGGACATCAGAACATCACTGGCAAACTTGTGGAGAGTAGATAAGCAATTTCAGCAGATAAGTAGTGGAGACAGAAGAAAAAAGAAAGTGAAAAAAAGCAGATGTATGCTCCTGGTTTAAAGGCTTGATTCTGAAGGGAAGAGATAGGACAATTATTGGGAAGTTAACTAAGATATCGAGACAGGGTTTGATTCAGGTTTAGAGAGGACATCAGGGGCGAAGGAGACATGGAAGCTATAGGAAAGATGAGAGTAACTGAAGGAGCAAGATCAGCAGTAGATATAGCCCAGAACCCAGGCCTTCAGACTCCTGGACATGCTCATTTCCATCCCATGATGCCTTCCTCTAGGTGAGAGATCAAGAGGGTGGGAATTATGGAGGGGTGGAAGCCCCCAACTACAGAGGTTTGGAGTGAGGGCTTCCCTTCAAACTACAACTGCATAGATAGTGGACGCATCAGCAGGGACTACTGTGGACAGCCGGCGGGGTCTCCTGAGGGCTCTATGGTCCAGATCAGCGTAGAGCAGGCTCTGAAGGAGGCAAGGGATGAAGGCAGGATGGTCTCAGCAGTCTGACTCCCTTGAGATTCAGACCTACCTCTTGGTCCACTTTCCTGCGGGATTCCGTCCCCATTCCCAAGTCCTTACCGGCTCCTGGTCCAGGTCCCCTGGAATCTTGGGCTCCTCCTCCTCCATGGGTCTCTGGGGCTCGGCTTTCATCAAAGGAGCTATATGGGGGGGACAGAGCTGAAGGATGGAGAGAAGGTGACCAACTTGTCTGCTCCCAACAGGGGCCCAACTCAGGAATTGAGGGGAGGGGACTGTACCAGTAGGAGAGGAAAAATGGGGAGGAGTTAGTCTTACCAAATGTGGGGAGTGGTGGAAGCGGAGGCGGGGGCGAGCGCCTATAAAGGAGTATAAGAGTCTTTAATAGTCACCAGTCTTGTTGCGCTGGTTCTCCTTGGCCGCAGGCGGCGCCAACGACAACCTTGCAACTTGCTCACTCTGACCAGCAAAACAACTTAGGCCCCTCCCACACAAAAAGTGCTGCCCACACTCCGATCCTGTGGCTCATCTAGCTTCACTCCTCTAGTCATGCCCCGCCTGGTACACCAGCCTCTGGCCTCGCATTCTCCTAACCATGCCTGGATCTCCAGATCTAGCTCTTTGCGAAAATTCACGTTTCGCCCCTGCCGCCTCTGGTCAAGCCCTATTAAACTAGGCCCCGCCCCTGGTGCTCACCTGCGCAACCACCAGACCACGCCCAACGCTCCCAGTCCTAGCACCAGACCAGCGCCCAGCAACGGGACCAGGACTTGGGGATACAGCGACCCTAGGGAAACAGCGTGGCGGGGAGGAATGCAGACGTCAGGGGTACCACCACAGAGAGCTAGCTCTGTCGCTCAGCAAAGCTTCCATCCCTCTCCCCGGAGTGTGTCCGAGTTAACTCCACCGTACGTGTTGATCTCCACCTACCGTTCGTAGGCCCCTGGGCTCTGCAATCGGCCCTATCGCCCAGCACGTGAAGCACCGTACGACTCTCGTCCTCGTGGCGTCCCCTGCAGAAAAATGTGCCCGAGTCCCCCGCACTCAAGAGCAGCTCCAGCCTCCGGATACCAGGGTCCAGAGAGCGTAGGCGGCCAGCGAAGGGCAGGAGTGGAGGCACAGTGGGGATCCCACTGGACGATGCCCACAGGATCGGGCGACGTCCCTTGGACAGACCTTTGCAAGCTGGGAAACTAGGCGCCCAAGCCCAGCGGATGGGGTGCGAGACCCCCACGCAGGAAAGATTCACCCGGTCTCCAGGGCGTCCATCCAGAGATGCTAGGGGAGGCGGGGGACGGTGGTTAGGACAAGTCCATGGGGCAGGTCGATGACACTGTCCCCACCCCATCTCTTTTTTTCACTCTGCCCTTCCACAATTTTGGATCTTCTCACACACTCGCGACTCCTCAGGTGTTCCCTTCCCCTGCCTCAGTCTTTCCTCACCATCACAACTTTCCCTGGAATTGCTTACCCCCCGGGTCCCCGTGGGCCCTCGAAAGCAGCAGAGGCAGTAGCTGCAGAACCAGGGCCATGGCTGGGGTGAGGTGGGGAGAGGCAGCAAATGAATCAGCGGGAAGACCGGAGGGAAGTCTGGGGACAGGGACTGAGGTATCTCGGGACTGGGGGCTCTGATAAGAGCAGGGGCGGGGCCACCAATTCTTCCATCTCTTTAGGAATCCTCACAGGCAAACTCACAGCCCTAAAACAGTGCCCACTTAAAATTTGTTATAGGTTGTTTACACAGCACTCCTGCCTACTTAACTCCTCCAGCAGAGTGATAGCTGGGACAAATTCTGGAGCTCCACTGTCCTGAGTTCATATGTTGACTTTGCCATCTATGAACTGTTGGATGTGGGCAAGTAGCTTAACTGCTGCCTCTTTGCTCATCTGTAAATGAAGATGAACACACCTATTTCATACAGCATTGTGAGAACTAAAGTAATACCTGTAAAACAACTAAAGCAATGATGGATATAGGAACACTAAGTGCTCACCATTATTTTTACTACTTCTGTTCTTATTTTAGCTTCTACCTCACCTTTCTGTGCCCACGCTGTCCTTCCCCGCCTGCAGTACCCCACCCAAGTCCACAAGTTTTGACTGGGGAGGCCTTTAGGAGCAGATGCAAATGCCCCACACCTGTTACTCCAGCAGCCTTCACTGGACTGGAGCCATCAAGATCACATCAAGCCCATGTGGAGGGGTGAGGTCCCTCAAACCTTTAAGGGGCCTGAAGCAGCAACTCTTTAGAAGGTGGGCAGCCTCAGTTCCCCTATCCCCAGGACATCACAGAAACCCTCCATGATGTCACAAACCCTTCATCCTGTGGTTGGGCTGGGGTGGGAAAGACCAAATGAGGGTTGAGTAAAGATTAATTCAATCCCTTCCATCTTTAATTTCTGCCTGCATCCTGGCCAGTGCCCCCCAGGGACCCAAATTCAGCAATCCAGCTTGGGCCACATTCTATCGTTTCCTAAGAACTAGCAGAAGCTGCCACTATGGTCATTGTAAATCATAGAGGCCTTTTGGTGACTCTCTTTCAGAGGACTAGACAGGGCTTTCAGCTGGGCATCCTGAAACCAGGAACCAAAATGGAGTTGGCCACCAGTGGCACTTCCCCTTCCCCTTCCCTCTCACCCATCCCCATTCCCCAGCCAGGTCTGCTCAGCCTCTCCCCATCCTTAGTCTTTTTCTCTGGTCAGCACAGTGTAAATAGGAAGGGAGGTGCCAGCAGAGGCAGAGAAGGGAGGGGCCTTGGGATTATAAATTCCAAAAAGGCCGTTCAACTCCCAGAGCAGGATCCCTGAAAATCTACTCTTGACAACGGCTGTGACTACTACCATTCTTGGGACCCTCACCATGAAAGGCCTTCTTCTGCTCACCCTGTCTGCTCTGCTCTGCTGGGTCTCAGGTAAGTACCTGTGGCCCCCAAGAACCTGGTTCACCTGTCAGGACCTCTACCTCCCTGCCCTGCCTGTACCACCCATTAGTCATGATCCCAAAAACCCTCAGCCCCAACTGGCTCAGCTCTCCTGTTTCCAGGACCAGATCTCTCTGTTACAGGCTCCTTGCACAATTTCTCAAGGACCCAGGTCTCCATCATCATATTCCTCCTCATCCCCAAGAAAGTCCCACTTTTCTCACCTGCGAGGGCTCCAGGTCTCTTTCTCACTCCAAGGTGCCCACTTCTTGGAAACTCTGATATCTAGTTCCCTGGCTTGCCCCATTTCAATCCACAATTCTCCTGGATCCATCTTACTGCCTTCTCTCACCTCCTGCAGACAGCAGGATGTGTCTTCAGACTTAAGCCTCCAGATCCAGGCTTCTTTCAGACCTCACCCTTTCCATCTACTCCACCCTGGATTTAGGTACTCAGCTGTGGCTCTTCCTAGTGTATCCTTGTTCCTCCCTGAGCTACATATTCTCACCCTTACCAGGGACACAGGCTTTCTGGATGGTTTCAGTAACTTCTTAAAGCCTTCTGGGGAACCAGGGAGTTTCCCCAAAGCTCCTAGGAAGGGGATGCCAGGGCCACTCACCCCTAGAGTGAGGTGGGTTTTATTTCCAGGCTCTCCACTCTTGGACTGACCTCTCCTTTGCCAAATCTTCCTTGCCCATGCCTTGAATTAGCTGAAGCAGGAACACTGGGGGTGCCATCTTCTGTACCCACCCTCTCCCTTCTGGTAATCTGCTAAGAAGGATTCTGATGAAATGTCTCTCAGGTATTATTCCTTCTGCCAGAGAGCTGTAGAAAAGAGGACTCCATTCAGGACTGGTTCCTCCACCCACACTCTTGGCTGCCCCACAAGGTGAAGAGTAAATTGCTAAAGTTGGCCACAGGAGGGTTTCTTGAAGCCTCCAGTTCCAAGCCATTTCTGAAGGCATCATAATCCCATCATTTTTATTCTTCATATTTCTTCCTATTTCAAATCTCTATCCTCTCCCTCCTTTCCCCATTCCTTCCCCACAGTTTCCTCTCATCCCAGCTGTCCCCAGACGCATGTTTTTGTTGGTAGTTGTGCTCCTCTTGACTCATCCCAAATGGGGTGTGGTGGAGGAAGATATTTAGGGTGTGAGCCTTTCACAAAGAACAACTCCACCCTCACCTGTCACCCACTTGCCACTTTCACCGCATCACTCACCTGCTCTGTCTCATGGACCAAACAGATCAGTGCACCTATTTCATAGGCTCTTCTACACCCCTATTCCCAGTTCAGCTTACCCCCAGGTAGCTTAGACACCCCATGCCTCAGCCTGACTTGTTTCTCCCCAGCTGATATCCGCTGTCACTCCTGCTACAAAGTCCCTGTGCTGGGCTGCGTGGACCGGCAGTCCTGCCGTCTGGAGCCAGGACACCAGTGCCTAACAACAAATGTGTACCTCGGTAATATCTGCCTCTATAGTGGAAGAGGGACAAGTGGGACACTCTCTCTGGGACTGAGACCCAACCAGGGCTAAGACTAAGATGGAACAGAGAATTATAGCAATGATGACATTTGGCCAAAATGATTGTATACCAGGCACTGGGCTTTTTTGTGTGTGCGTGTGTGGTAATGGGTACTTTACCACTGAGCTACATCCAGTGCTTCCCACCTCCCTTGCTTTTTATTTTTTCTTTCTTTCTTTTCTTTTTTTTTTTTTTTAAGATAGGTTTTGCTAAGTTGCCGAGGCTGGTCTCAAACTCCCAGTGATTTGGGATTATAGGAATGTGCCACCGTGCCCAGCTTGACCTATGTCTTTATGTGTTCTGTTTCAATGAATGTTCATGACAGTCCTAGGATGTTGGTGTTAGTGTCAAATTGACTAAATACTCTCAAGAGAGATAAAACAGGCCCAAAGACCTCATGGCCAATCAGGATTGGGGTTCACAATAAGGAGGTAGAGGAGTAAAATAGGCTGAGAAGAGATAAAGGGCAGGGCTGGGCAAATTTGCGAAGGAAGGAAGCCTGGGTGGGTGTACATAGTGGGGAGTGGGCATAGGTGTGCCAGGAGCCAATCCTAGCTGATCTCCCTGCCCACTCCACTCCTGCCTCTAGGGAAGATGTGGGTTTTCTCCAACCTGCGCTGTGGCACACCAGAAGAGCCCTGTCGGGAGGCCTTCAACCAAACCAACCACAAGCTGGGCCTGAACTATAACACCACCTGCTGCAGCAAAGACAACTGCAATAGCCCAGCCCCCCGGCCCACGCCCACCCTGACCCTGGTTTTCCTCACTTCCTTGGCTGGCCTTGGCCTCTGGCTGCTGCACTGAAGCTCATTCTGTGGCTGTCCTTCCTCCCCACCTGCCTTAGCCAGAGCCTCTCTCCTTATGACTCCCCATCTCCTGGTTTCCCAGAATGATCTCTCTCTGGATCCCCTTCCTCTGAAGAGCATTTCTCCAGTCCCTTCTCATTTCTTTAATGAGACAGTGCCCAGAGTGGTCTCCCTATCTATTTTTCCCAAACTGTACCCTCTGCTCTGTTTTTCCTTAGTCCTTTCCCTTTTCCCTTTAGACCACTCCAGATCCTCCACTGGCTCATGAAGGACTTCTACTTTGTCTTCTACACTCTGAGGTGCCCTCCTTGAGAAGGAGGGATTGGGATCTGGGCGGGAAATGGGGCTTCTGTCCTGTCTCCAATGAAAGCCCCAGGAAGGACCTGATGACCTCACTCTATGGGATTGATTCACCAAACCCTCTACTCATCTTTTCCATTTTGAGTAATAAATGTCTGTGTCTAATAAATTGTGCATTCATTTTCAGAAGACTGTAAGTGTCAAACCCCCTCCCTGGAAGTAACACTCTCAGCACCCTCACCCCCATCCCCGCCTTCCCCTTACCCAAGAGTCTTTCAGGGAGTTTCCCTGGGAGGCTGGGCTCATGTAAATGAAGGAACAGGTTTTTCAGGTCTCCATCCTGTCTTTCAGTGTCTGGAGGTGGCACATAGGTCCCAGTGTTTGGAGAAACAACCCTTATCCTAAATTTAGCCACACCCTAGTGATATTCTGCCAAGGAGGAGATACAGCCTGGCTTTAGGTCTCCCCAGAGAGGTAGGAGAGGGATATGGAGATGGGGCCTCAGATTAGGATCTGAGGCCTTACCTGGCCTAGTTACTAACCAGGGTATCCAAGCAACTCTCCTATCGCTGGACTTATATTTCCTTTTCAATTCAAAATAGTCCTATCCATGCTTACCTAATGTGTGAAGCCCTGGGTTAAATCCCAGTACTGCAAAAAAACCAAAACAAATAGTTCTTTTGGGAACTAAGTTACAAATGGAGGAAAGGGGAACAAACCCAGACAGCCAAGCTCATGGAATCTTGGTCACTTCCACTCAGTCCAGAGCTTATTCTCCTTAGTAATCTGCATTACTAAGGTAGATCTTCCCTAGCAGCAAGATCCAGTAGTCACTAAGAGAGATTCTGCATTATCCTTGGGGATTTTGTTGGTTAAGGGGTGCAATGTGGGATCCTGGTTGGGGTCCAGGACCAGAGAAAGGAGCAACCACTGTAACTAGGTCCATTGATGGGCCAGAAACCCTCAAACTAGAAGATAGATGTCCCCATATTGCTGCTTCAAGTTTCCCATCAACAAAAGGTAGATGGAATTTTCCAGTCAGCTCTAGATTTTAATGGCTCACAGAGAAGTGTTTACTTTCTCACCATAGATGTTCAGAGCTCCCTTGTTTCCTTGCTCCCTTGCCTACCCTCATTCCCACTACCCGCTCCATAATCCTGGCAAAAGCCAGACCAGGGTGGTGGCTGCTGCAACCAAGATGCATGCTGGGGCCACGGTGCTTGCCACAGCGCTGTTGCATAGGTCTCCAAAGCAGCAGTTCCTGTGAGTTGTGTAAGTCACGTCTCCCACCAATTCTGTTTCCACTTGGTTGCAATGATGGGTGGCCACACAAGCAGGATGGTGATGACTCAGGGTCACTGAAGCTGAGAGAAAGAATGAAACCTGGGTATTGGACTCTTGGCTTCAGGATTTGCCTTCTGGGGCAGAGCAGATGTGATTTCAAGGAGCCCAAGGGAATTCTCTGCCCCCTCAAAAAACACCTCCCTGAAACCAAGTGATCAAAGTTAACACATTAACATTGTTAACTGCTGCTGTGGTGTGCTGATAAGGGAACAACATCACTTCTATGGTATTCCTGCCTGAAACACATGACCTCAATCTTAGCATGTGAAAGAAAATAGAAGTTAAACCAGTTGTGGTAGCGCTTGCCTGTCATCCCAGCAATTTGAGAGGCTGAGGCTGGAGGATCACAAGTTCAAGGCTAGCCTGGGAAATTTAGCAAGACCCTTCTCAAAATAAAAAATAAAAAGTGCTTAGGATAGCTCGTAGTAGAGCATCCTGAGTTCAATCATCAGTACTACAAAAAAAAAAAAAAAAACAAGTAAATAGACAAATCCAAATTGAGAGCAATCTACAAAACAACATATCATAAAATTACATAAAAACAAAGTGATCTATCAGGGCTTTTCAAAAATATCAAAATCATGAAAGACAAAGAAAGACTGAGCATTTGCACAGGCTGGAGAATGTGAAAAGACGTGAGAATGAAATGCAACATGGGACCCTGATTTGTGTCCAGGACCAGATAAAGGACAAGAGTGGAACAACTGGCTAAATCAAAAAGCCTAAATTAGCTAGTCATATTATACCAATGTGATTTTCTGATTTTGATAATTGTGCTACAGTTATGTGATATGTTAGCATTAAGGAAAGTTGAGTGAAGGATATACAAGAACTTCCTATACTACTTTTGCAAACATTCTGTCAATCCAAAATTATTTCAAATTAAAATATTAAAACATACACAATATACCTCTTAGCCAGTGCTTGAAAGTTGGCCCCTGACTTAAGGGACGAATTTCTGAGTAAATGGGCCTCTGATTCTTTCTGGAGAATAAAGAGGAGGGAGGTGAAAGCCCAAGAACTGTGGGATGCTCAGGTGCTCAGTGCCAGGAACCAGAAGGGTACAGACTGCTCTTCTCCAACAGTGGCACCATCTGCCCAGAGCCAGACGGAGCCTGGAAGGTTCTGGAAGCCAGAGGAATAAAGTGGGGCCTAAAGGCAGGGAAGGGCTGAGGGAAAAGGGAGAAACTGAGGACTCACGGTTCTCAGGCAATTTGCTCTGTCCCAGGCCTGGTTGGGGTTTACGCTCCAAGAAGCCACAACGTTCACCCTCACCACAGATGGTCACGGTCCCTTTGCAGGAGTTGCTGGGGCCTCCACCACAGTTGTAGCACCGCATGCGGTTTCCTGGCAGGAGAGGCAGGAGAAAAGAGGCACTGGACCTGGGGCTCTCTAGGAAGTTGCTGGCAGAGGGTAAGACAGGCCATATGAGAGGTGAATTGGCCTCCTCCTTACCCAATGCATCCCCCAGCAGTGTGCAGATCAGGATTCCAACAAATTGGGGCTTCATCATGTCTACCTGTGTCAGTAGGGCCTCTCCCTCCCGCCCACCCCCCTCCCTGGCCCTGCTCTGCCAGCCTTATATCCCCCTTGTTTTAGATTTATAGGGCTATAAAAAGGGAGGAAAGAGTCTCCCCCAGCAGGCGCCAGGGCCCCAGTGGAGACAGGGAGGGGCCTGTGGATGCTCTCAGCATCCTCTGAAGCCTCAAACTCCTCCATCTTCAGCAGTAGTTAAAAAATTATTGCTCAAGAACTCCTGGGGGTCTCTAAGACTCTGTCAAAGGGTCTTCAAGGGTCTTCCTTTTCCAATTCCATTGGATTATCTTTGAGGTTGGATTTTCAACCAAATAACATATCCCTACAGACTGAATATCAAAGAAGTGGACATGAAAACCCTGCCATCTTAAGCTTGACATGAAATAGATTCACAAAAATGTAAAGCACTTCCACTCTTCTTACTGTGAAATTGAGAACTTGTATTTATTTTTCATAAAACTATTTCATTAACATGTAATAGGTTTATTGTTCTTATTTGTGAAACAAATCAATACCTATTTAAAATGTCATATTTTAATTTCTAATACAATACATATTGATATAAAAAACATGAAAACAAACTCCTTGGGACATTTGGATATATATATTTTTTAAGAGTGTAAAGAGTTGGGTGCAGTGGTGCATGACTATAATTCCAGCAACTCAGGAGGCTGAGGCAGGAGGATTGCAAGTTTAAAGCAATTTAGGGAAGCGTAAGCAACTTAACAAGACCCTGACTGAAAAAAAGTTAAAAAAAAAAAAAAGTAAAAATAAGAAGTAAAAGGGCTGGGGAGGTAAAGCACCACTGAGTTTAATCCCCAGTACCAGAAAAGAGGGAGGGAGGAAGAGAGGGAGGGAGACAGACAGAGAGACAGAGAGAGAGTTCCTGAGATCAAACTTTTTAAATACTGCTGCTCAGTGTCTCCCCTGCCCTCACCTTCCAAGTCTTCCTTATTCCTCCTTAGTCTTTTTTGTGGTCCTGAGGATCAAACCCAGGGCCTCACCCATGCTAGGAAAAGCACTCTGCCACTGAACTACACCCACAGTCCTGTCTCCAATCTCTTAAACCCCAGTCATCCAGACTCTGCCACACTCCCCAGTCCCTTCATTCTATCCATGCCTTTGTTCCTAGTCTCATTCTTCCCCAGTGGAAGCACATCCACCCAGCCCCACCCATGATTAATTTTTTTCCTCCAAGGTAGTAAAGCTGGGAGGAATAATTATGGGGTGGGAATGTTGAGGCTTGGGGGGGATCAAAGGTATATGAAGCAGGGTGGGGCTGGCCCCTCCACAGCTGGGCAGTGTGGGTGGGTCCCCTCCACAGCTGGACTGTGTGGGTGGGTCCTCTCCACAGCTGGGCTGTGTAGGTGGGTGAATGAGTGTTGTTGATTCCACCTTCAAACATCACACACACTCTAATGATCTAGGCCAGGACTGTTTAGGAGTGTGACCTTGAGAAGCACACATGCACTGAGGGGATAGAGAAAACAAAGAATAAGAGAACAGAGAACAGCTTGAGATGGGGAGCAAGGGAGGGGAGCAGAAGGGAAGGCGACAGACATAACTCAGGAGCAGCAGACGGAGCTGAGTTATAAACATTGAGAGAACAGAGAAGACCCTCAAGGCACGGGCAGGGAGGGGGGTGAGAGACAGGGGCTCCGGAGCAGAGGGCTGGGGACCCTGCTGAGTCATGCTGGTGAAATCTGTCCTATTCCACCCCCAGGTTCTCTCCCTAGGTGTGTTTGTTTACTGGTCCCTCCCTGTCATGCTCAGATGTTCCATCTCGGGGTGCAGATCACATTCTCCCAGATTTCCTGAGCCCAGGTCCTGCCATGGGCACCTCCAGCATCTTCCTCTGCGCCTTGTTCCTCTGTGGGGCATTGGGTAAGGGTGGACTGGGGAATCCTCGGGGGCAGGGGGCAGGGGGCTGGGGCAGGGGCTGGCAGATTTTGAGGATTGGAAGGGAGAGGGAGCTGGGAGAAGCCAACAAGAGAGCAGGAACGACTTTGGGGAGACCAACCACTGGGATGGCCTCAGGCCAGTTGACAATGTGAAAGAGCAGAAGTTGCCTTTCAGAGGCACTGTCTCTTCCTTGGGAGTCTTTGACTTGCCTCTGTGTCTCTTGTTCCTTATCTCACCTCTTGCTTTTGTGCTGTACCCCTCAGTCAATGTCAATTCCCATTTTCTTTTCTGCCTCTGATGCCATCTACTTGAGTTTTTTCACTTTCCCCCTCCACCTCTTCACCGATCTCTCTCTCTTGCTCTCTCTCTCTCTCTCTCTCTCTCTCTCT